TACAATACAAAAAAACTCTACAAATAAATTTCATTGATAGAGCCGTTGCTTCTCAAAACCACTTCTAATAAAGAATGATTTATGCTACGCGTTCCATAATCTTTAATAATACGATTCGCACTTCTTCTCCGTTTTCCTTTGCCCCGAAATACGGAAAACTGACAACACCAGAAATAGATATCGCTTACAACAAAAAATCCTCAACTTTTTATCTGCCCAAGAATAATTATTTTGTGCGAAACTTAAAACAAAAATTTCTAAAGTAGACAGTTTCATCTAACAGTGTCGATTAAATTCCTAGACTAGGAAATCTCGACCAAATGTTCCGAACTCAAAATAGTTTCCGTTGTCGCTCTCGAGACAAGTTCGGACGGAGGCGGGTCACGATAGGGCATCAGATTAAACATATTGGTCAAAGTTTGTTTAATTTTCCGACAGATTGCGCCAAACTTAATTTAACGTCCGCTCAGGCAAGAGAATTTCCATTCTATTCCCAGCTTGCTAGAGGGTTGAATGTCTTGTGAGAGAAATATATTTTGTATTATTAGAAAAAAATATTTTCAATAATTTGCTTTACAAAAATGTATTATCACAAAGTTTCAAACTTCTTTTAAATTCGATAATATAATATTATTTAACGAATTTAAACAACTAGGAGTTTTAAATGAAAGGGAAAGAAAACTTTTAACAAGTTCTACGAAGTGCCATTTCCTTGTTATGCGCTAACTCGGTTTAGACATTCTTTGGACATATTGAATTAAAGGGGAGCATAATATTAAAAAGTTTCAGCTCTCAGAAGAAGACTTTTTCCGAGAAAAATTGTTTTAATATAGAGTTATAAGCGGCTTATGGATAGGATTTTTTTTCTTTTTTATTTACTTATGTATACGATAAACAGCAAACATTTTCACACCCACTCCGAATAATAAATTATTTAATAAGAAAAATGCTATCCGGAGTGTATTCTTCCATAAGTGGAGCAATCCTTATTCTCAGATCCCTTTTGTTCTGTCATAAAGAATGCATCAAAGAAAAATTACATCGCATTTTTGCTAAGTAAATAAACAAGAAAAAAAGGCTGTAGAAAATGACACACATATTTCTCCGGTGAAGGAAACTAAATTAATGTTACATGTGGTGTTTTACGCAGAACGCTTTTTTCTCTGCTGGCTGCTGCTCCTTTTTATTTGATTTAGAAAAATGGCGAAACTTTTGGTCAATGATGGTTTATTTTATTTTAGTTTTTATCATTTTCTTGTCTTTCTAGTTTAGCTATGATTTAAATATTTCTACAATCTCAGTTTCTAATGGGGAAGTAGACAGGGTGGTTGGTGTAAATTGAAAAAGACTACTGGAGATGAAATTTCCAGTTGAATACCCCCTTCAGAAGTCATGAGACTTCACCGTTGGTAAGGGGGCCTACTAATCACTACTCCTGTTCCCTTTCAATTGAACGAGGACGGTAGATGAAGCAAAGGATGACTAAATGTGGATGTTGTGATCTTTATGTTTGTTATGTTTATTGTTCATTAAATAGGAATATTTCAAGTAATTGGTTTACCTCATTTATTCTCAAATTAATAATGATTTTTGAAAACAAGCCACATTATCTAAACTTTAACAATCAGTTTAGGTTATCTTGACAGGTTGACTTTTGTTTGTGTTCTGACAGAGGAGCGGAGCTACATTCCGAAATTATGAATACTACAGATGGGAACCACAATTTGTTCCCACCCATTACCCACGGATTTCCTTTACGCGATTATTTCTCGGAACCTATAAGTCCAAATGAGCTAAAATTTCCAGGGATTTTAGTCCGCCACTGGAATAAGAATCGCTGAAAATTTCAGCTTTCTATCTCTAATAGAAAAAAAGTTATGACCTTTCAAAGTTTTCCAAAATCTAAATCAGAAGGAAACAATGAAATTTCAAAAAAAATTCTGTTGAGATTTTGTGTCCTAATGCTCCTTTGGGATCCCCTGAACTCCATACACTAGAATATTCTGAGATTTGGATTGGAAAAATTGATAAATCACCCCAAATTGCTTAACACGATTTTATTTCTGGAACTATAATTCCAAATGAACTAAAATTTTCAGGGATTGTAGTTCGCCACTGGCATAAGAATCGCTGGAAATTTCAGCTTTCTATCTACAGGGTGCCCCACCGGGAAACACATCGATCTATATGTGAAATTGAAATACTGTATGCAGAAAATTTTTGAAAATTTGACAGTATGTCAATGGGGGCAACCCGGCTAAAATATTTTCAAGATGGTGGCACTTCCGGCTATACCGGAAGTAGACGTCAACTTGCTTACTTTAAATGAGACACCCTGTATATGATTGCATATTTGGATTCTGAGCAGATTTCACGTTATATACCCTATACCTAAGTTCAACTGTTTTGGAAATATTGACAGTCGAAAATTGACTTTTTGCAACTTTGACAGGCTGTAAAACCTAAACGGTTAATTTTAGAGGAAAACCGATTTTACATTCCCATCAGATTTTCATAAACTCATCATCAATCATTTGACACCAACTTTGAATTTAATCCATGATTAAAAATTCCAATTAAATCTAATCTCCGGTTTAATTCAAACTTGGTGTCGAATGATAGTTTATGAAAATCTAAGACAGGAGTGTAAAATCGGTTTTCCTCAAGAATCAACCGTTTAGGTTTTATAGCCTGTCAAAGTTGCGAAAAGTCTATTTTCCACTGTCAATATTTCCAAAACAGTTGAACTTAGGTTTAGAGTATATCACATGAAATGTGCTCAGAATTTTACGTACAATACAAATATGCAATCAGATACAGGATGTCCCATTTAAAATAGGCAAGTTGACGTCTACTTCCGGTATAACCGGAAGTGCCACCATCTTGAAAATATTTTAAACGGGTTGCCCCCATTGACATTAGTATACTGTCAAATTTTACCAAAAATTTTTTGCATACAGTTTTTCACATATAGATCGATATGGTTCCCGGTGTGACACCCTGTATAATAGAAAAAAAGGTATGATCTTTCAAAATTTTACACTTACACGTTACTACTAAAACGACGAAATTTCAGAGTCTCCAAGAAAGTCCTTGGTGACATTTTTTAAAATTGGTTTTTCCTGCTCAGTATGATTTTCCTGTCTTGTTGGCGAGAGTGTTCCAGGACCAATAACGATTACTTTGTACGCGTCTGCATATTTTTATAGCCTTTTGGTTTCGGTTACGGACATTGAGTTTCAGGCTGAGGATTTGAAGTTGAGGTTCACCAATTATTGTCATGGTGAGACTTTTGTAGTACATCCACTTTCAGTGAAATATCCAGTAGTGGTAAGTTAGCTGAAGTAATTTTTATTCGGCATCTGATTACCTCAATCTCTGTAGTGACTGTAATATCGTCACTAACTTCCATATAGAAATATTTCAGGCCTAGATTTAAGCAGTCCTGTAACTCTATTGGCAGCATTTGGTGATCTCTGTAGGAAATTTGTGTACAAATGTGACGTTTCATGAACGTTGCCTGGGATCATTTTGAATAGTGTTGTAGCGGCCTTTCGGTTTTCCTTTTCTTGCTTTAACGGTTATCTCGGGCGCCACCCTCAGGATTATTGTGGTTGAGGGCCCACGTGCATCAGGTAGCTTGTTACAGTGGAGATCAGGGGTCGAATCAGATGCTGGAAGTTATTCCTTCTATACCTCCTGTAAATCCTCCAGGGAGAGAGTGAAAATGTGTATGTGTGCGTGCGTGTAGATTAATGATAACGGGCGGTTTATAAGCAAGCGGTGAGTAACAGAAAATGAGAAGCGGTCAAGCAAGCGGTGAGCAACAGAAAATTAGAAGCAATCATGCAATACAATAGCGGTAAGATCTTTACGGTTTTAACTGTTTCGAATACCGATGTACCCGTTTCACACTTTATGTAAGACATTTCGGATACAGACATGAATTGACTTGGTTCGTCAATACGGTAACCTTAAATCGGTTAGAATCAACCGCAACGGCGGTGGAAATAAAGCCCTGTCCGTACACATGAACCGTGACAGTATAAATAATATCTAAGAGAAAACTATCCGTACACATGAACTGTGACAGTTTATAGAACCTTACACTATGTCGTGACAATAAAACATGAACCAATATATGAAGAGAAACTGTCCGTACACGTAAACTGTGACAGCTATAGAACTTTAAACTTTGTGAAAATAAATATCTTGGAGAAAACTGTCCGTACAAATAAACCGTGACAGTTTATAGAACTTTACTTGGCAAAAATAAATATCCTAGAGAAAACTATCCGTACACATAAACCGTGATAGTTTATAGAACTTTACTTTGTAAAATAAATATCTTAGCGAAAACTATCCGCACACACAAACCGTGATAGTTTATAGAATCTTAAACTCTGTCCATCCAAGTGAACCGTGACAGTAAAAAAAACAATATAATTTACCAACAAAGTAATAATGAAAAATAACTTACTCACGTTGCGGTGAAACAGGTACCAGTCGTATTGAAACAAAAATTTGTACATTTGGGTTTTGGACCATCCTAAACAACAATTTGCTATCCCTAATAGTACTTATTGAAAATTGAGCCTATAAATGTGGACACCCTGTACACCAGTACAGCCGCAGAAATAAATTTATGAGCCCAATAAGTGCCAAATTCGAGTAAGACAAAAAACATAAAATAAATTGAATCGGTTAAAAAATAAAAATTTCAGAAGGGTGGTCAGTCCTTAAGCGGGACACACTGTAGAATAATTTGATTTTTTTTTTAAATAGTAAAAAAAGGACAATTATAAAATTGAAAAAAAAATATAATAAAATGTCAAGTCATTTTTGATCGTTCATGATCGCTTATTAAATTTATAAAAAAAAGTCAAATACATAATTACGTCACCATTTTTATGTAAATTTAATAATAATTAGCTTCTACGTATAGTAATAAGTATATCAACCTTTGATGATTAATTATATTATGTATCTACCTATTACAAGTGGCAGAAGTACCTACGTATTTAATATTTTTTTGACTGGTAAGCTAGTTGAATTTACTTGACGTTTAGTTTAGGTATATACTATACTTATGTATACAAATAAATTAGATTTTTTACCTGGTGGTTATCAAGGGCGTCCTCGACAAGAAGTTTTAAAATAATTCAAGATTATAACTACAAGCTTTTAATCAAATTCAATACTTTTTTTTTTAGTATTGAAAGTAATAATCCAATCAATCATTAAGTTTGTTTTAATTTTCGGGCATTTCAAGATGTGGGTTCTCAGGTAGTCCTTGCCATCCTGTACCCTTTACATGCATTTTATAGAATTTTTCACGCTTTCTTGTAATTCTGCACTACCTAAACTTTGCTTAGTGAGGCTGGTGTAGGAATACGAACACAACTACCTATTTTCTTCTATCAAGTATCAAGTGTGATATTTCAGGTTGTAATTAAATGAAAAAAATGTTTTTCTAATCTTTTTTCGTTATAATATATGCCCATATTTTTAGAATAAAAATGGAATCTGATAATTTAAAATGGCTAACTGTGGTAATTCTATTCCTGACATGGATTTTTTTTAAATTTGAAAACTACTTCAAATCAGTTATATTAGCGATGAAGTTACAAGGACCAGCTACGGTACCTTTTTTTGGAAATGCCTTGTATCTCACAGAAGGAGATGGTAATTTATAAGAACTATTTATTCATAAGCATAATCGCTTTTTTATTCTAGTAATTCAACGATTTGCCAACATTATCTCCACCCAATTTCATGGATCGATAAGTAGAATATGGTTGTTTTTTATACCGTTTGTTGTTGTGTATAAGCCGGAACATTTGAAAATTATTATGAGCAGCTCTAAGGTATCAGAAAAAAATTTTGTGTATAAAGTTTTGGAGATCTTTTTTTGTAACGGACTTATCACATTAAAAGGTAAATGCAACAAAACATTGAGTTCTTTGTGAAACATCTCATGCAAGTTTTCTCTATTTTCTTTAAGGTCACGAATGGAAAAATCATCGAAAAATTATTCAGCCATTTTTCCAAACGAATTTAATCGAGAACGACTACTATCATTCATTTTTGAAATATTCACAAGATATTATCAGTGAACTTGGTGGCCAAAAATGTGTTAAAATTCAAAATATCACTAACAAATATGTGAAAAAAATTTTGCATAGTAAGTTTATCACAAGCCACAAGTTTTAATTATTACTTTTCTTGTAAATGTATTTTTAGGAATCATCTTAGGTGTTGATTTAGACTCCGTAGAAGAAACGCCATTCAAAAAGTTATTAAAACAATATTTAGCCGATAGATAAAGATATTCATTATTCTATTTTTTAGAATTGAAAATACTGCCATAGAAAAGTTATGGAAACCCTGGAAAACTTTTCAAAATTCAAACCCTAATTTGAAACAATCCATCCAGAGCGTTTATAGCCTACGTAAGAAAGGCAAGGATTTTAACTTTTCTTCTAACGATTTGGGAATTTATTCTAAAAATATTTTTTAGAATTTTTATGAACGCAAATCTCAATTAACCAAAAATAATTGCCTTTTGGACAAATTAATTGAAAAAGTCGAAACTAGTGAATTTACAGAAGATGAGGCTATTAATGAAGCAATCACGTTTTTAATAGCGGTATGGATAATTATTAAAATATATTAATTACATAAAATTATAGATACTTATTATCGGCTTATTTTTAGTTATTAGAGGTATAATTGGAATTTTTTCCTATAGGTAATGACGTCAAATTTTTCAGGGCTATGAGACAATAGCAATTACACTTATAGCTTGCTTATATTACTTAGCAAAAAATCAGAATATTCAGGAAAAAGTATACCAGGAAATTCAGGACGCAACTTCAAATGGAACTTGCAATAATATTACAGTGGAACATATTAATAAAATGCATTATTTGGGCCAATGTGTCAAAGAAACTTTACGAATAATGCCTCCAATACCATTATTGACAAGAGTATTAAATTCAGATATAACTTTAGGTGAGGGAAAATCAATGCCATATTAATCTATATTTTTGGGTTTATTTTTTTTAGATAACTACACAATACCTTCTGGAACAAATATATTGATGTCACCTTTAGTAACACATAGAGTACAAGAAACATTTCCTGATCCCTTGAAATATGATCCTGATAGGTTTTCTAAAGAAAATATAGATAAACTACCTCCGTATAGTTACATACCATTTAGTATAGGATCTAGAAATTGCATAGGTTAGTAGTATCAATAGTTTCTAAACAGAAAAAAATTTCACGCAAGCTTTCTTCTAGCACATAAATATGCCTATTTGGAACTAAAAACCATTATAGCATGCATATTAAAAGAATATCACATTGAGCTTAAGGAAGCCTATAATGACCTGTCTTTTGGCTACAGAGTTGCCATGACCATAAAGGGAGGAGTGTGGTTCAATATAAATCCTAGAAAAAACATTGTTAAATAAATTTGTGCATATAAATTTTGTCAAACTTGAATTGAATTCTTTATTAGTACAAATCCAAAATTAAGGAGTATGCTCATTTCAGTTTCGATAAAATGGACTTTTTGATTTTCAAAATTAACTTTGACACTAAGAAAAACAACCTATTTGAAATATTATTTCTTCAAATCTTAACTTTTTAAGAAATGCTTACGGAATAAAAGTAAATGTTGCAACCATGTAATGAGCTGTCAAGTAAGGGCGAACGTAGAGGCGCCACAAAAAAAGTGTACGAAGGGTAGGTAGAAAAAAAAAGCGACTAGACTAGAGAGAAGACGCTTGTCTGCCATTGTTCATTATACAATTTTAATTTTAATTTTGTAATAAAATTTCCTAATAGGTCGGCATACACACACGTTATTTCGCGCGGTTTATCGTGGCGTATTGGGATGTAGCGGTTTGCACGCGCGAAAGAACGGCGTGGCAAAAAAAGCGTCATGTTCCATACACTTGACAAAGTATTCAAATGATTTAGCACGTGATTACGCGCGGCATATAAGTTGGAAAGGAAAAACCGTATGTGTATGGGTAAAAAGTGTCATTTATCGTGTCGTTTGGAAGTGCATGTTATCATGTACTAATTTTCAACGATAGTTCGATGCGCAGCGTTTATGTCTCCGTACTAGCCTCAAAACCGTGACGTGGAATGGCGTGTGGACACGGGTGTGAACTGCACTATCATGTACTTGAGTACTGACGTCACATTTCAGATGAAAGCACGTCTGAAATCCCTTCCCATTCTATCATTGCGTGCAGCCCTCCTCACTCACGCACATGATTTTTCACAGGTTTTTGCAGATGACACGATAAACCGCGCGAAAGAACATGTGTCTATGCCGGCCTAATCCTTATGCCACTAGTCGGCTACGTGAACGCTCTGTATTATGTCAACCTGCTATAAGGCCTGTCAACTACAAGATGTCAGCGTTTATAGTGCATTAACGCAAACACAGAACGCAAATTTCATTTCGTTCTCTTTATTGATACGAGACCAATATACAGTAATCAGTTTTCTCTATCGGTTTTCATTTAATTCTTCCCGTGTACTCAATTCTCCCCTAATTATCTTACAAATTGGCGTCCAACTTTGCGGCCACGGTCCCTAATAATTATCTCACAAATTGGCGACCAACTTTGCGGCCACGGTGAGTTTGTGACAATGAAGCACGAATGCTTAGCGAAGAACAACGTTGATGTACCATAGTCACCAAAGGTATCTGGGACAAAAATAATTCATAATAATCTCCTGGACTATTTCTACCATCATTCATTTTATTCATAGTTTGACAAATATTTGTCACTAAAAGTCTTATAATAGTACAGGAGCTAATATGTTGCTGTACCAGTTACTTTTGAAGACGTTGGTACACTCAGATAGGGACAAAACTGCATTCGTTTGCCCCTTCGGTACCTACCGTTACAAGCGCATCCCATTTAGACTCCGCAACGCGCCCAGTACTTTCCAGCGCCTTCAAAATATTATTTCTTCAAATTTTAACTTTTTAAAAAACGTTTACGGAATAAAAGTTAATGTTGCAACCATGTAATGCGCTGTCAAGTAGGGGCGAACGTAGAGGCGTCACAGAAAAAATGTACGACTGGTAGAAGAAGAAAACAAAGCGACTAGACTAGAGAGAAGTCTGCCATTGTTCATTATTCAATTTTTATTCTTATTTTGTAATAAAATTTCCTAATCCCTATGCCATTGGTCGGCTACGCGGCGAACGCTCCCCTGTATTATGTCAATCTGCTATATGGCCTGTCAACTACAAGATGTCAGCCTCTGATGTCAGCGTTTATAGTCACTTTATAGTGCAATAACACAAATTTCATTTCGTTCTCTTTGTTAATACAAGACCAATATACAGTTATCAGTTTTCTCTATCGGTTCTCGTTTAACTCTTCCTGTGTACTCACTTCTTCTCTAATAATTATCTCACAAATTGGCGCCCAACTTTGCGGCCACGGTGAGTTTGTGACAACGAAGCGCGGATGCTTAGCGAAGAACAATGATGTACCATCGTCACCAAAGGTATCTGGGTTAAAAATAATTCATATTAATCTCCTGGACTATTTCTACCATCATTCATTTTATTCATAGTTTGACAAATATTTGACACTAAAAGTCATATAATAGTACAGGAGCTAATATGTTGCTGTCCCAGTTACTTTTGGTGACGATGGTACACTCAGATAGGGACAAAATTGCATTCGTTTGCCCTTTCGGTACCTACCTTTACAAGCGCATGCCATTTGGACTCCGCAAGGCGCCCAGTACTTTTCAGCGCCTCATCGATAGGTTTAGGTCAGGAATACAAGATGTCTCCATGTTGGCATACCTTGATGACTTGATCATCATGCCATCGTCTTTCGAAGACCATTTGACCGAACTGAGGAAAGTATTCCTGCGACTTGCGCAGTACAAGTTAACACTCAACAGACCAAAATATTCATTCACCTGTGAAGCCGTCCATTATCTAGGACACATTCTCTCCACGGAAGGAATAGGTTCATGTGAAGATAAAGTCGCTGCCATCATGAATATGTTATCACCGAAAAACGTCAAGCAACTGTTAGGATTTATCCAAACCTGCTCATGGTTTCGTCGTTTTGTTGAAAACTTCGCCGATGTTGCTAAGCCACTAACGACACTGACCAAGAAAAACGACCCGCACACCGACCAAGAAAAACGACCCGCCCCAATCCTGAGGCAAGCAGACAGCAGATTGCCGTATATCCTACGAACGGATGCTAGTGAGTTTATTACACAGAGAACACCTAAGTAGGACCTATTGTTTATGCTGTTAATTAGACACACATAGTTAGGATGTTGAAAAACTCTCTCTCTCTTACATTTGATTTTTCGAAAATCTTCCAGGGGGCGATCTGAGGAAAACCACCTATTCAAAATATTATTTCTTCAAATCTTAACTGTTCAAAAAACATTTACGGAATAAAAGTAAATGTTGCAACCATGTAATGTGCTGTCAAGTAAGGACGAACGTAGAGGCGCCACAAAAAAAGTGTACGAAGGGTAGGTAGAAGAAAAATAAGCTACTAGACAAGAGAGAAGACGCTGGTCTGCCATTGTTCAATATTCAATTTTTGTTAGAAATATTTTCTTCAGGTAATGACCAACGTGAATACAGGGACACAACGGTCCCTGTTTGGGAATCGACCCACTGAGCAGTGGACTCAGGCTTCCCGTGCCAATCCTTGACGCGTTTCGTCCTTGTTAGGACTCATCAGAAGGACATAGGCTGAAGCTCCCTGTTCAAGCAAATTGTTCAACGCCGGTAGGGGTATTTGCCCTCGGAGTAGTTGTTTCTGACTGGTCAACGAAGTTCAATACTGTATTCACGTTGGTCATTACCTGAAAAAAATCTTTCCAACAATTTTCATTGCCAATGAAAGCTCAGACCAATCAGTGTAGTTCAACGCCGGTAGGGGTATTTGCCCTCGAAGTAGTTGTTTCTGACTGGTCAACGAAATTCAATTTTTATTTTCATTTTGTATTCAGAGCGTAAATTAGGGCCTTGTTGAATTTACTAATCTTCTCTTACCCTGACGGGCGAATATCCTAGCAAACAAATTGAAATAATCAATCTAGAGATATTGGCTCAAAAACAACTATAGCTGAGTAGCCTCCCGTATGGGACCTCAGTACCTGCTGGTGAAACTGGCTAACTAACAAAAACTCTTCAGTATCGAATATAGGTAGTGTTTAAATTTCCTTAATATTTGCTATATCGGGCTCATGTCAAGTAAGTAAAATTGAGTAAGTTTCCACAACGCAGGTCCTATTTATTTTTTAGAAGATTTGTTGTTTAAAAGGTAATAAAAATTCACACTCTTCGATCTTGCTGAACGTACCCGGGTCTGGTATACTGCAAGACCTACGTCAGAAACTTTGAAGTCAAAAATTTATTTTTTCACAATGCTCTGGTGATATACAAGCATTTCTTATCATCTATCTATACCATCAGGCATATCTACTTGTACATATTGATATAATCTAAATAGGACAATGTGAATCCGAGAATGAATAATTTTTTTGATATAATAGTAAAAAGCCAATGGTTGAACACGCTAGTAAAGTGAAAATAGTTCTGGGTCCCTTATCCAAAATGGGGCAGCAAAGTTGTTCTTTATTATCTCTTCTATCTCAATACTTCCGGCAACACTAACAATACATTTGACCGTTAGCTTTGGTATACTTATCATATGTAAATATTCCATATGATTGATGGAAAATACATTAAAACACATTTTCCTTTTTGTTCCTGTCAGTGGCGCTTCCAAAATATTCAATACTACAGGAGCCTGTCGAAATAACCATTTTCAACCATACAGTTTTGTATTTCCGATCAGGATGAGACACGAAAATAATAAATATTTCGCAATGCACTCTCTTTTGCAACTAGAATATTTTGACTGTAATGCCGTTATCAAATATGTATTGGTTTTCGTGTAAAGTGTAGATCAGTGAAAGTTTAATACACGGAAATGCTTTATGAATTCATATTATCTAAAGTTTCGAAACCCATTTGGCAATGATAATGGCGATAATAATAAAGGGAATAGAGGAAAACCGATCACTAATAATAAATTTCCCTTGCAAAAGTGTTTTTTTTTTATTGAACCAAATAAATATGGATGTGGAAACGTTATTGAAAAGAAACAGTTAATGGAGCCATTGAATTCTCGTAGAGAGAAACGATATGTTTTCAGTTTGTTTTATTGAAATTGTACAGAATCGACAACACAACGAAATTTATTGACGAATATCGGTAGAGGGGCCCCATTATAATAAATTTATCATTCGGCTTATAGACGCATTTATGTCGTTTTTCGGGAACATTTGTTATGCTTTTCTATTTTATTTCGAATGCATAGCGATGAGGGCGGAATTATATTACGAAGACCTATCACAATATCTGAACTTATGTATAAATAAACTGGAATATCTTTGTGAACTA